AGCTCTCTCAGCTCGTAATTCTTCATCTGAGCTCTCTCAGCTCGTAATTCTTCATCTGAGCTCTCTTAACTCATAATTTTTCATTAAAACTCTCTCAACTCATAGCTCTTCATTGAAGCTCTCTCAACTCATAAGTTTTTCATCAGAGCTCTCTTAGCTTCTAATCCTTCATCAGAGCTCTCTTAGCTCATAATTCTTCATTTGAGCTCTCTCAGCTCATAATTCTTCATCTGAGCTTTCTCAGCTCATTGTCGAAGCTCTTTTAGCTCGTAATTCTTCATCTGAGCTCTCTCAACTCGTAATTCTTCATCTGAGCTCTCTCATCTTAGAATTTTTCATCTGAGCTCTCTTAGCTCAGAATTCTTCATCTGAGCTCTTTCAGCTTGTAATTCTTTATTTAAGCTCTTTCAACTCGTAATTCTTTATCTGAGCTTTCTTAACTCATAATTCTTCATTGGAGCTTACCCATGTAGGGTCTTAGCTTGTAAGTCTTTATTAGAGCTCTTTCTGCTCATAATTCTTCATCGAAGCTCTTTTAGCTTGTAATTCTTCATCGAAGCTCTCTTAGCTTGTAATACTTCATCTATGCTTTCTCAACTCATAATTTGCGAGCCAAGCTAGGAGATAGTGTTTTGTTATGAGACCCATGCAAGGTCTCACTTCTTTCCCCTAAAGTCAACTATATCAACGAAGCAATAAAGCTTTTTATTTGTTCCTATAAATGGTGCCAATTGTTCAGGTAATCATGAGCTCTAGTTGACCATGAGTTGACCAAAAAAGGGACTTGTAAAACAAATTTAAGGGTTATCCCTTAGGTTAGACACTTCGACACCTATGTTTGTAATATTCTATACTTTAGGCTTTTTTTAGAGAGATAAAGAGTACAATAGAGATAGAAGTGTTCAAGGAAAAGTCCCTACCTTTGAGGGGGTGGGAAATTATAGACTCTTGGGGAGTACTTTACTCATGTTGCACTTCTATTGGTTCTTTTGGTTCCATTTAGGTGTACATGAGTTTTATAGTGACTAATGCATGTGCTCTATTGTATTTGGGCATTATGAGCCTTTATTACGTTTATAGGTTGGCTAGATTGCTATCCCAACACCTATGTCCTTGGACACTTTTTTTACATAAATTATCATTGGAAAAGATACAAGTTTACTTTTATTTAATTAATTGAATAATGAAAATAGTCTATATGACAATGATGATGAAATTAATATCAATTTTTGTCATTTTTAGTACAACTTATTATAAAAAAAAAGTGTATTAATTATATTTTTAATCTGTAGGTATGTGTTAGAAAAATCCTAATATAGAGTAATGAAACATAATATGAAAATTTTAGTTGAAAATTTGGAATTAATAATGTGGCATAAGTTATGTTAATAAATAAGTTAATACATATATTATAAGAGCCCTAATAGAGTAAAAAACAATAATTATTAAATAATATAAAATTTACCTTTTAAAATTCTAAATCATGTGATTTATATCCAATTATTGGTTCTAAATTTTGGAACTGATAATTTAGTATAAATTATGTTTTTTAAAATATTAAAAGGTAAATTTTATATTTTTTAATAAGTAACTTTTTTTACTTTATTAAGATCTATAATATTATATATATTAATTTATTTAATAACATAATTTATATCATATCATTAATTATAAATTTTTATATCTAATTTTCCTCTACATGATTGTATCACCACTCAAACCTTAAAGGAAGATTTTCTTTTTCTTTTTTATTAATGCTTACACGTATTCCTTTAGGCATGAAAAATGCCCACCAAGCTTGCCGCAGACACGTTGGATGCATGCATAGCATAAAGGGCTTGTCACGGAGCCGCTATTAAAAGACGACGTTAGTGTCGCCGTTCGCCTAAGGGAAGATTTGGGTCAATTATTGGGTTTAAGCAAGGGTTTATGTGCCGATTTTTAGTTCAGGGGCTGGTACCTTATAGTTAGTAAAGTTCAGAGGCTTAAGAAGGGGTTTTGCCTTTTTTTTAAAGGTGTTTGAAAAAGGCGCCGTGCAATTTTAGAAATCTAAGAACATAATATTTACTATTAAATATGAATCAATTTTAAATATTGGAGTTTTTTCATATTTAATAATTTTTACTTTATAAGTTAATATAATTTAATTTATAAAATAAGAGACTCAAGTTATTTTACACTTTTAAAATATTATATTTTTATTTTTTATAAATTAAAGATTTATACTTATTTATGTTTTTATTTATATTATTTAAGAAAAATTAAAAAATTTTCTAATATGGTGATTAATTAAAATAATAAATAATAAGAGAATTAAAATAAAAAAATATTATTTATTTTAAAAAATAAAAAAGAATTTCTCTATCCTCTACTCTTAAGGATACAATAAATGTATTTTTTTAATAAATTCACATAAAAATTATAAAAATTGACATATATTTTAACATTGTAGACATGTAAATAATTTTAATTGGTTAATTGATTAAACCAAAGTTAATATTTACATT